GGTTGACACTTAGTACATAGTGGGAAAACCTTGCAACCATTCTGGAAAGTCATTGTCTGTAGATGACCAGACTTAAGTCTGGAAATCAAAGATTGTTGTTCTCTTGGGAGGACAGAATTGGTGCTTGTTCCTCCTGCTCTGTACCAGTCATGTGCAGCATTAGATGGATTGTGTTTTAAAAACCAGACAAAGAATGTACAGAGTTTTGGCCTAAGTTTTGGCCAGAAAAAATATTGTTTTAACATATTAATAAAAAATATATAAATTTTGTGAAAAATGGTACAAAAGTGAGAACTGGGATTAGGTGAATAAATTAAGAAGAAAAAGCTATCTACTGATTGGCCTGCGCAATCAGCAAATTCATGATAAGGAGATGCCTTTTTTTATTAATACGCTAGAACCTCCCTTTAGCGGACATCCTGCTAGCTGACATCTCTCCACAAAGGACAGTTTTCATTTGCAAAATTACCATTTTTACCATTTAACAACTCTCCGGTAAGAAGACACCTCTCCCTAAAGGACACTTTGGCTCTGCAATTAGGTGTTGTCCTTTACAGAGAGGTAGTTCTACTGTATAATATATATTGGTTTATGATAATAAATATCATTATGGCATATATACATATATTTATTGTTGAAAATTGAGCAATCTATTTTAAAATACATTAGTTTAAACGCCTCTATCTATACATAGGATCAATTGTATTTATTAAAAACAAAAGTCAATATTTCGACAAGGCTGTTCGTCTTCTAAGTTTCAAACTCCCAGTAAGTTTATCATCCATGTGTGATGTACAAGAAGTATCTAGTACTCCAGCCTGTTGTAATATAAATACCTATAAGCTTATGTCCATAGTTTTCTTGAAAACCATTTCTGAGATTCCATCCTTCAGTGCTGCGTATATAAGCAGAATGATCCAATACTGTATTAGAGCTCTGATAAGCGGTCTGGTGGATTAAACTGGCGAAACCGCTGGGAGGGTTCACCACTGATGAGCCGAGCCCTCCCAATATATTTTTTCATCGCAGTAAGGATAGTAGAAGTTTGTATTATGTATAAAAGAAACATTGGTGCTTTTAAATCCTTTCATTATCTACTTATATATTTGCCTTATTCTGTCTGTTTGTCTGTATGTCTGAAGCTCACGGATAGAATGCGCGCCCATTGGCTGCCAGCGAACACGTGGCCTCCCTGCCCCCCCTCTAGACAACCCTGTTATCTGCTGTGCGATACATACACCTGTCTATAGCGGCCACTCTAGACAACCCTGTTATCAGCAGTGTGCTACATCCACCTGTCTAAACAGACCACTCTGTCTATAGCGGCCACTCTAGACAACCCTGTTATCACCAGTGTGTTACATTCACCTGTCTATACAGACCACCCTGTCTATAGCGGTCACTCTAGGCAACCCTGTTAACAGCAGTGTGTTACATTCGCCTGTCTATACAGACCACCCTGTCTATAGCGGTCACCTTAGGCGACCCTGTTATCAGCAGTGTGATACATCCACCTGTCTATACAGACCACCCTGTCTATAGCGACCACTCTAGACATCCCTGTTATCAGCTGCCTGTCTATACAGACCACCCTGTCTATAGCGGTCACCTTAGGCGACCCTGTTATCAGCAGTGTGATACATCCACCTGTCTATACAGACCACCCTGTCTATAGCGACCACTCTAGACAACCCTGTTATCAGCTGTGTGATACATCCACCTGTCTATACAGACCACCCTGTCAATAGCGACCACCCAAGACAACGTTTTTAAAATATATTCGCACTCTGGTAAACCCCGGGCGTTGCCCGGGCCATTCGTCTAGTATAAATATAATTTTTGCCACAGAATAATCGGCAACAAAAATAATATCATCATTTTTATTCCATTTGTTTACTTTTATACATATAGATCATAATAAAAAGATCGTTTATGAGCTATTTCTATCTCTTATGTATGTTATGGATCATTAAAAACCAATTTCCATTTGTAACACAGCCTATCAAATAACCAACATTAATTCAACAAAACGATAATTCAACATCATCGATAATTCGACCGATTTTTAAAAAAATCTAATTCCGACAGCATTAGATAATTCTTGTTTAAATACCAATTTATTCCACAACAACAACAAAAAGCTTTATTAAGACCTTTTAGTCTTATACAGATTCTCCAAGCAGAAATATAGGATACATGAAGGAAAAACAGTGATAGAACTTAATGGTAACATGATATTTATATACAGGGAAAATTATATAAAGACAATCAAGCTAATAGATTAATCTGGGCAAATTGGAGGCAAAGAAAAGTACCTATATATGGATTTACCACGGATTCTCGTGTTAGGTCTTGTGGAGTTATTTGGTAGCAGCTCTGAGACTTTTTACCAATTTATTCATAAAAAATCCAATATTTTACCACACGGGACACAGCAGTGGTAGTTAGCGTATGCATACCGTTCTTTAAAATGGTTACAATGACGTCGCAAATAACGGCCACGATATCGTGAACGATTTTGGTTTCCTTCAGAATGATTTAGGTACCATTGGTTTGATACCTTAAGTGCTTGCTAGTTACCGGCGTTTACAATCCGATGTCTTAGAGAGTAACGTTCTGGTATTTGATATAACATACAGAAGAGGAAAGACACACCTTTAGAAGATTCTTCTTCTTTCTTATCTCCACCCAATCATATTAAGGTATCAAGCTTGTAAAGCTTGTTGATGGTGTCTGCCGGGGAAGAGTAGAGCTCATCAATGGATGAGTCAATCTTTCAATTCACCCTTTAGAAGATTGATAAGCTAGAATACACATTAAATAGGGTTCTAGTCTAAAAGCAAACAACCATAAAGGATTTATTTAAAAGAGAATACTTTTTAAATAAAGTTTTTAGCTTTTTTTCTTTCCCTCCCCAAAATTAAGAGTCACTTTCTTCCCACTGCACGTTTTCACTTATATAAAATAGTGTTTGTAATATTTTTTAATATTTAAAAATGTATATTTTAAAGCAATTTTGACCTTGTCTAAAAGTTCGTCATGTAATACATTCTAAATACTGTAAACGAAATAAAAATAGGTCCAGTGATATCAATCTATAATATATTAATTGAAATATATTTTACAAGAGTATATTTTTTTCTCTGAAAATATAATTTTTTAATGATAAAGAAAAATGCTCGTATCGTTCCTCACCCATTGACGGGGATCAGATTACGTCATATCGTGTCGTCGATTTAGAAAGATGAAAGGTTGCCCAAAAAGGACTTAAGAACATTGAGAATGGAGACTTGGCGATTTCAGTTTGAATCAAAGACCAAAGAACAAAGTGACGCGAACCAAACTTTATCCAAACCCCATGTGGCGGCCACACTACGCCTCGGCCAGCGCGAGTTGGAACACCTCACTACGCATGCGCGGCCGGGCAGCAAGAGCCAGGATTTCAGCACGCGCCATCGACTAACAAAACATTCTTCCAACGGCCCTTATTTCTATCCTTTTTTATATTTTAGGTTGCAAAAATTTGTAAAAATATTTTAATTTTTTATTAGAAGATACGACAACGATCAAGCACGCTCACATCTCCCAAAAATCAAGACTGCGAAAGTTGGAAATAAAGACCATATTGGTTTCCAACATATATACATATATTAAAGTATTCTAGAGGAGATGAGTACTATCTATTATGTGACATCCAAACCATCTGGAAAGGATGTGGCAATGTTTGGCTGTCAGTTGACGTCAGCTAGCGATAGAATGACAGCTGGAGTTGACATCTACAAGAGTAGTGTCGTTTACATCCTTTCTTTTGGCATCCCTTCATTTCCCCTAACCGTAAAACGTCGCGTTAGAGAAAAAAGTACTAAATTGTTATTATTTCTACCGAGTTGTACACAGCAAACAGTGTGTACGTTGTGTGTTTGCTATGTGTATTGTATGGTGTGTGTGACAATTTTTTTTGACAATTAAAAAATATTTATTGTCATCTAGACAATATTACATATTTTCAAACAATAAAGTAGAGAGAGAAAATATATAAATAGAGAAAGAGAGAAAGAAAATATATACATATATGAAACTACAAGATGATGATGGGAGATGATGAAAGGAAACCTCGACGCTGGAGGGTCCTGGACCAGGCGATGAGCGGGTCCTCCACCGCTTCTCCGAGCCCAACCTGGACAAAGTAGCGATAGATTCGCAACTTTGCCGATGCCAGGATGGAAAGGGCGTCGTCCTCAAGGCCGGACCCGCCGAAGATCCAAGCCTGCAGGTCAGGGGGCCGCCCTATGATGTTGAAGGCCTCTCTGATGAGCGGCCTGATGGAGCGGCAGCACCAGTAACGGTGGCCGAGGGAGCGGTCGATGGACCCGCAGGCAGGACAGGAGGGGCCGACCGAGGCAGGATGGGCCGGATGGGGCAGGGCGTGGAGGGCTAGCTTGAGAGCTGCGTCGGCCTCGTGACCCGAATAGGCGCAGCGCCGCAGCGAGGCCCAGTCGATCCTGGATGGTGGATTGATGGTGGGCGTCCATCTCGCCAGGAATCTGGAGATGGGCGTGGCGGCGAGGCGCGGACGATCCAGGGCCCGTTGTATGGTGTGTGTGTTGTGACAATTGACAATTAAAACAAATTTGTTCTTCTTCTTATTTCTTATCTCCAACCATCATGAATGGGTGAAGTAAAATGCGTCTGCCTTTGTCATCAAGACTGGGAGCACTACTCAGTGGCAGGCAGACTTAGCTCTAAAAGAAATGGCCACCTCTGACATGAGGAACAGATGCCATGTGCAGCCACTCCTAACATCCTGTATCCCTGGATCAGGAGCCCTTACAGGGTACTATCAGCCGGGCCAGCTGAACCAAGGTTTTTTAGCGAGCTTGTTACTGCTCCCCCTCCTCCTTTTTCATTCGGGCTTGGGACTGGCAAAGGCGGAGTTGACACCGGTCAATATTTACAAAATCAAGAAGATATCGCAAAAATAATTAGAATAAATAAAAAGATGGTGAAACACGGGTTCAAACCAGGGACATTTAGATCTTCAGTTTAAAGCTTTCGCAGCTGAGCTCTTCCGACATATATGATAATAGTGTGTATTGTGTGTGCGTTGTGTGTGTATTGTAGTTTATGTGTGTGTATTGTAGTGTGTATGTGTACAAATTTCTTCAGCAAGGAAGGCTTCCCCACCTTGAGAGAGTCCCTCTCCAGACAAGGAGGGGGTCTTCTTGAACACTCCTCAGTTCCACGCAGAAGAAGTGTATTGTGGTGCATGTGTGTCCAAAGAACTTCCAAAAATCGACCCCTCACGAACGATCTCTTATATTTAATATAGAACTTCGTTGTTCAATGCCACCACAGAGAATCATAAAAAAAAAAAAATAAAAAATAAATAAAAAAAAAAAAACACTGCACATTGATAGACTAATGATCTCAACGCACACGGACTGATTGATGTCACGTGTTAGTAGAAAAACCAATCAGCGAGCGAATAAAGTGGACATACCATACATATAAACAGCATATTATCATACTAGATTTTCGTGTTTGTGGTAAAACTCGCCAAAGAGTTTTACAAAAATGTCAGTTTTGTTGTTGTTAGGATGGCGGTCTCACAGCCAGGCAGTAATGTCGCCCGGACTTGGCACCATTTCAAGGTTTCCTCCACCATCGCCTCTAATGGGCAAAACTTTCTCTTCTGGGATGTCATTGTCTTTCTTCTTCCCCCTGTTACTAATCTGATGGAGTCTCCCATTTCTCTTGGTTAGTGTTGTTTGATGTCTTCCCCTCTCTTCTTACGTTCGCTACTTTGCGTGTCTCTTTTCCCTCCACTTGCTGTGTTATCTCTTTGATTTGTTTTATTTATTATCCCTAGTACACGTGGTACAGGCCATGATAATCATGGTGGGTAGTTAGCGACTGCTTTTACTGTAAGCACACCACATGTCTACATATGTGAAAAGCAGTTCGACTTTGCACTTACAAATGTGCCAGAGCCCCGTTTGGTTTGATTTATTAATATAAGCTGAATTTAAGAGGTCTTAATACAAAGCAATAACGCGCTATATAACAAATGAAAACATTAAGAGACGCGAGTGTTTCTTTCACACAAATAAATCAAACTTCTACTATACTCGTGTCTTAATGTTTTTATTTTGTTAGGAAGTCTTATAAAATCTTCACTACTGCCCTGTCTAACACAATATTTATACACAATACGTCCAAGGTAGCCTAGTGGGACATGGCATCTGCCCTGTAAGCGGAACATTGTGGGTTCGATTCCCATCCCTGGACACTTTTATTTTTCTGTTCATCATTACTCTTCGTAATTCACCCTTTCATACCTCATCTAAAAGGTTAGAAATAGTCGATATTTCACCTTGAAATAAATTTTGATATTTCGTTGAAAAGAAACTCATGCGGTGTAACTTAAAGTGTCGTTTTACAATCACAGGCCGCAGTGCATTATACAATATTTATCTTTAAATACTTCCTCCAATTTTACAAGGCCGCGACGTCAGAAATAAGGTTTGTAAGTTGGAGATGAAAAGAATTAAATCTGTCACAATTATAAGTGAAAAAGTCGAATTGCTTTCTAATTTGGGCTCGAAAAATCATACATTTTGGTTATTAAAATCCATATTCTCTCTGTTATCTACATGTGTAGACATGTGGTGTAACTCACAGTAAAAAACAGTTCTTAACTACTACCCACCATGTATATACACACAAAGCCTTTATTAAGACGTTAGTCTTATACAGATTCTCCGTACAAGGTGCAATAACAGGAAAAGAGCAGCACAGGAAACCAGTAGTTCCGCAACTATATACAATTATTAGTAATATAAAATGCAAATTTCATAAGTGGTGTTCGCTAAAAACTTTCGTTACAATGCATCAATTTCAACCAAATTTTCAACATTTATGTAAAACGAGATGGTGCAGGTTTTGCTTAACATCAAAATATTTTTCCTAACTTTAACATGCGTAACTTCGCTGTTATCGATTAAATACAAAAAAAATCAACAGAGTTAATTTTATTTATATATAAATACAAAAAAAAATCAGCATTTCATTCAACTCAATCTAAAAAAATATTCAAAACAAGCAATTTTAAGATAACACCATATGTAAAACAGTCGGCCAAGAAAACAACAACGATATTACATCTTTCTCACATATTCACACACAATCTTGTTAGTAATATGGAAAAGTAAGATTTAATATGAAAGGTCGACGCCATCGCCTCAAGTCTTCAATTCCATAAGCGCGGAGCAGAAATAGGGACTAAGTTACCCACCATGTATTATTATGGCTTGTACCACATGTACTAGTAACAAAAGTTTCTATCTCACCTCTAACAAAGGAAAAAAAAACATCACGAATTGCTATATAAAAACAAAACAGTACTTATCCTTCATTGTAGCGTTGGTAGGGATCGGACCGGGGTTACACAGGTATGCGAGGAGATCACCAGACACGGATAAAGCACACAGAAAACACTTTAAGCATCTCCACACGATAATCCACCACACACCTCCTTGACTCACCTCGCAATAATTTTTATTTATTTCGTCTCAATTTACAGGTGTTACATTCGAGTCACCTTGTCCTGGCTATTTACACATGGCGTGGAGTAGAGGTGGTCCCCCCCCCCCCCGGACCTTGAAGGAGGGCAGCTGTTGGGCGATGAGCTCTTAACTAAGTGTCAGGGCCGGGTCGTCGGAATCGGGGGGAAAAAAAAACTGCGCCGCCCGGGAAACCTCGTAATACCATAGCTCCCTCTTATATATACAAACACACGCTCCAACACAATAGTTACAAAAACGAAAAAGCGAGTGGGGGGGGGCAAAGGTGGCGTGATCGTAGCCAACCAATAGGAGAGCGCCATTCCAAAAAAAAAAAAAAAAGCAAACGGTGACAGAGATGAAAACTGAAGAATTAAGAGATGAAGAACGCATGACGCTCGTAACTGTATATATTATGGCTACATTCGTCCAATGAGAAGACGGGAGAGATTGGTTCACTATCAAACAAAAACAAAATTCTTCCCACTAAAACCGGAGATAAAAGTTCAAATGTTTATCAATATAATTTGAAACTAGGGATGATAATAATAATAACTTTATTTTTCAAAAAGGTTACAAGTTTTTCTCTAAAAAGTGTAGCGAATCGTCAGTCTATTTACATATTTTTATTTACAACTTCAATAAATAACAACAGTAAAAGTAAACCAAAGATATTTACATTTGTTATCTTGACTCCTGGTCAGTGCTGTTGCCCTTGCCGTTATGGTCCCCTGATGTCCTGCAGCTCTCCAGCAGTCTTTCTATGGCCTCTTCTGGTGGTTCCTCGATAAGATGGTCCCCTGGCCTTGATCCACTCTTGTCTGTCAGGTCTCGTACATCTGCTCTAGGTCGTTCTCCTGGATCTCTTCTATGGTCGTCGTATACCATAATAATATTAATATTAATAATGATTAAAAAAAGTGCCCAATGCGGGAATCGAACCCGGGTCATAGCGGTCGAAAACCAATGATTTAGACCATCCTTCCACCGACCCCCTTTAAAGTAACGTGACAGTGAATAGCCAATCGAAGAGCGAATAAAAAAGACATATAGGAACATTCTAGTAGATATATGGACGGAATGGACTAAATTAAACTATAATGGTAAACCATCCATCCAGTTTTATGTCAAAATAATCCAGAGCTATACATTCTTGTTACCTTTTTTCAAAAATTTTCAATCTCTTCGCAATATCCTGTTGTAGCCTTTCTCTTTTTCAGGAATAGAGGATCTCACGTACCGAGATTCCCGTTTTTCTTCTTTTTTCTTACATCGCCTCGATGGATTCCAAACGTTGTCCGCGAATTGAGTCCTTTTTTTTTTGTTGAGGGAATATAGGACAGATGGAGCTATGTCCGGCGAATACGAAGGTTTTGGATTTATATAGTTCAATATTAGAAATATGAGTTTTAAAAAAACTTTTGACTATGAAAAAAAAAAGTACAAAAGAGTGAAATTGAATTGGGATCAGGTGGATAGATTAAGGAGTCTGGTATTATACCTCAGCGGTAGATTGAACTAACAACACACAGTCAGCCCAACAACCTTCAACTACCAACCAACTTGGGTGACATATATAACCAAGAAGGACAATAAACAAGAAGTCATAAATGACATCAGGTTACTATGACAACCAGCAGGGTGTGGTCGAATAACAATAATAAAGTTTGTGTGTGTTCCGAGACAACGAAGCAATTGAAACTTCAGGACACCCGTTAGCTAGCTAGCCAACATACAGTTCCCTATGTTCTCACTTACAACCATAAGTCTGGTTGTTCAGATTTTGTTTCTTTCTTTTCTATAGGGCGTGGTCGTCCCCGACTTTGCCAAATGTCTCCATGCCGTGACAACCTTCCTTATTAGATTCTCCTGACGTATTCACCCCACGGAGTTTTTTTCTTCTTTTCACAAGGATTTTCTTAGTAGTGACGAATTAAACTTTCATTCCCACCACCAACTCTTTATTTTTGGTAGCTACATCAAAATGTCACACGCTAAGGAAAGAATAAGTACAGTGGTACCTCGACATACGAGCGCCCCAACATACGAGTTTTTCGAGATACGAGCCGACGAGCAAGTGATTTTTTTGCTTTGAGTTACGAGCGAAATTCGAGATACGAGTTCGGTTCGGTAGTGTTGAAGATATTAATCTGTGATTTTAAATGGGAATTTTGTATGGGGAAATTTGCTTCGAGATACGAGTAATTCAAGATACGAGCAAGGTTGCGGAACGAATTAAACTCGTATGTCGAGGTACCACTGTATTTGATCCTTTGAAAAATCTACGAGATAATCCAAACAAAAGACAAAGGAAAGGTCAAATATACAATATAAACTCTCTGAAAGAAGAATAACAAAAAAACAATCACGAGGTTCAGAATAAAACATTATAATGTTCTTATATAATACAATATAATACACTGCGGCTTGTGATTGTAAAACAACACTTGAAGTTTCACCGCATGAGTTTCTTTTCAATAAAAAATCTAAATTTATTTCAAGGTGAAA